TACCGCCTCTATAGTGGCTCAAAAGTACGTTTGAGATTGTCTGCTCAATCAGATTTTCAGATTACATACATTTTATTCAAAGCAGCCCAGGCTTTAGCTATGTGAATTATCACTTCCTTTTCAGTAGAATTTATTAAACTTCATAGCTATAAGATTCGACAGATTTTATTGATCCTCCCGTGACATTTTGTATTGAGCCTTGCTGGTTGAAACTTATTTTGTTTTAGAGGCATTGACATAGAATCCAGCTTCGTTAATAGCATTTTATAGATGATATAGGAGAACTTTATCTTTGGCAATAGTGTCTTCAGAGATAGCTAGGCCATAAATATTGCAATAACAATCATAAATATGATTGCTGGTCGTTATTTTAAGAAGTAAGGGGGTACAAATGAAAATATTCGAAATTGACAACTTTCTCCATTTCACTGAAACAGACCTTAAATATTTCTATCTTCCCTCATTTCTTCCTTTGTCTGTTTGAGATTGTCTCAATCAGAAAAGCGTAGCTTAGATGTGGCACAAGGCCGAAAGTGTGGAGCAACCAGTGAGGATAGAATTTACTATTCAGGGGTAATGAATCTATCGAGACAAGCTTGATAACCATTACACCACATCGAAGTTCCAGGCCTTGTGTCAATTTATTTACCCCAGCATCTCCACTAAGACGAGGTGTGACACAAAGTCGGATTTAACGTGGATAACCCAAGTGTACACTCGGACCAAGAACAAAAATTGTCCAGCCATTGCAGCCGTCGGTTGCACTGGCATCGATATAACTAACGATCCCCTCTCTCTAGTGCAATGTAAGTCGGATGCAGCCTCGGGCAGCTGTTCACCGGGACCGGGTACCTCTCTTTTATTTTCCCCAGCTGTGTCTTTGTCCGCCGACAATTGAGTCGCACTCTGCCCCAAGACAGAAACCCAAATGAGAAATGAAAATCCAACCCTACGGCGGGTCGCGGAGTCGTAGTTTGTACTAAATGAGGGTACAAATAAATAAATAGATAAATAAAAACTATTTAAGTTCACATGTAAAGGAACTGGATATTACTGAAGAAAAAACAAAAAAAAAAAAAAAAAAAACTTCGGGAAAAATCAGAATAGTTGAGCCGGTTATCCCGCTAAACTAGTTTTTCAAAGAGTTTGTATATGACGCAACCTAGCCGAGCCCCTTTCATTGTTTACTAAGTTAAATTGTTTAGAAAAGCAATTAGAACACAGATCATGTTGATTTGTGGCTCAAACTTACAAACTGGAAACTTAAAAATTGTGGTTTCATTTGTGCCCCGCCACCCACCATTAAAAATATTCTTGTATTAAAGGTATGTTTAAATTCATACTTTACTGGTTCTTTTCTCGTATATAATTAAAATCTGGTAAATTAGCCATGTTTTGTAATTTTAGATTCAATTAATTTATTTTGCTAGATGAAATGGTTGCAGCTTTCATCTCTTGTGATTAGTCAAGTCAGTTTTAACCACGATTTTTAATTCATTCTTCTTTCATATCCCTTAAGTATGTGTGACCATGGTTCTCCACAACTTCTTATCCTTTGTAACTCTTAGTAAAGCTTGTTTATTCACCATCACCAACGTTCACTCCCTGTTAGCATTAAAATAATGTGTGTGACTAGATGTAAAGGTGATAGTGGTAAATGATTATTAAATTAATTTGGAGGGGGGGATTTTTTTACCTGTTTAGACAGTGAAAATCGCTTTAAAATAAGTTTAATTTTTTATTTCTTCCAGAAAATATCCAAACACACAAAAAAAAAAACACAAAATAGAAACAGAAAACAACATACTGTTTGAAAGAAAAACGATACTATTGCAACGACTATTACGGCATTATTATCATTATTATTATTATTATTAGTAGTAGTAGTAGTATTGTTATTATTATTATAATAATTATTATTTCCTTTGATTTTTGTTGTATAGTCATTTCCATCCGGGTTCCAACCAGAGACTTAATGTCAGAAATGGAATCATGAAATTTTCACCACACATTTGTATAAAAAAAAGATATAAACAAAAACAAATTTTCTTTAGATAAAACATTTCGTATTGCGTGAATTGTTCTTCTGAGACCAGTTCTTGGGTTGTTAGTGAGTATATCAGAATCTTTTCCAATGAAAACAGAGGGTCACAACCCCAAATGGAAATATTGCTGTCTTTATGTCCGACATTTTAAAATTTCCGCTTCGAGATCTTTGTATTTTGATAGTTTCAAAGTTGCATTATAGCCTGCAGGAAATGTCATGTCAATAAGAAAGGACATTTTATTTTCTGGTCTTTGATCACTATGTCTGGATGATTAGCTTTGATTGATCCGCATGTGCACATTGTAAAGTCCATTATATTATTATTATTATTGTTATTCCAAGCGGATGATATATATATATATATATATATATATATATATATATATATATATATATAGTATTTATTCAAAGATTTTCGTTGCCTTGTTCAAATTGTTAATCACGCTAGATAACACGCTCTTTCCTAAGGTCTGCTCAGCATAGTTGCAGTATAAACCACAGGTGGGCCCTGTGGGTGTTGAATAAACACAACTGCGACTGAGCAAGCGTCTGCAATAGGGATTGACTAGCCGCCGTAGTAGACAGGAATCCTCGAATACAAGTGGCCAGCTATACACACAGGCACATAAAAACAATTATAACATAAGCGTGTTATAACATTAACACTACAAAAGTAGCCATCTTCTTTCAACACTTCTGGTGTCTTGTCACGTGATGGTGTTGGTTGCAGAATAAAGAGTTTAAAAATAGATCAAAATCAGCCAAACTCCTCTCAGTAGGTAAGACATTGATACGTTTGCACTAATGACCAATCAAACTACAAATATATGATAATTCAAAAAACTTGACAACGAATCCTAGATATAATTTATTAAAGCCTTAATATAAATGTTAGACTAAATTAGAAATCATTATAACTAATTTATGATTTCACAGTAAAGTTAAAAAATAAAAATGACTAATTTTAAATTTATCCTGCATTAAGTTTAAATTATTATATAATTATTCAAAGAAGGAACGGAGGAGAATATATATATATATACATATATTGTTTTTCATTTATTTATTATTTTCATCAAAAAACTAAATATTCAGTTAAAGTCAACGCTAATATAAAGGGGTTCAAATACCGTTAATAACTTTGACACAATTGAAGGAATTTGAATTTAGATGATGGAGGGAAGGAAGGAGATCTTACAAATGATAAGTCAGACACACACACACACACACACACACACACACACACACACACACACACACATATATATATATTTATTAAAGACCTTGTCCATTTCTTAACACACATATATATATATATATATATATATATAGGGTACAGGGGTGAATCTTACTGTAAAACAGTGTACAGGGTGCATCATACTGTAAGTTTAAAACGTATAAAAGACGACAAATATATATATATATATATATATATATATATATATATATATATATATATATATATATATATATATATAGGGCACAGTGTGAACCTTACTTTAAAAAAAAGTTTAAACCTTATAAAAGAAGACAAATATATATACAGTCTACAGGGTGAATCTTACTGTAAAAAAACTTTCAAACGTATAAAGGACGACAAATATATATATATATATATATATATATACAGTGTACATGTGCATCATACTGTAAAAAACTTTAAAACGTATAAAAGACGACATATATATATATATATATATATATATATATATATATATATATATATATATATAAGCAGAGTGAACCTTACTGTAAAAAAAGTTTAAAATGTATAAACGAAGACAAATTAAGAATGAATCATGGCAAATGAAAAAAAATATCCAAAATTCAAAGTCTTAGAATTTTCTCGTCTTTTTTCCCAACAGATGGAGTTGGATTGAGTCGCCCACCAAAGGTGCCGAACAAAAATAACAGTGATTGGTCAGGCAGTTGGTCCAGTAGCTGGCAATCAAGCTGGAAGTCGGGAAGTAATGGTCAGTATGGAAGTGGCTCCAACAGTGGACATAGTGGAGGAGGAGGAGGAGGGAGTGGCGGAGGTGGTGGAAGTAGCGGCGGACAGGTTGGTATCATTTTCTTTTACAAATGGTCATTCAATACAAGGCCCAAGAAAATACCGGAAAGCCAATTCTAAACAGGGAGCAAGAGATGAACGTCTATTCCGATTCAAAAGACTGGGGAGAAATATGAACCAGACGATAGGCAAACCTATCTACTCCCATGACGTTTTAGTATAATAACGCCCGTCATTAAAAGAGAAGACGAAATTTATTTTTGAGTTGAATAGACGAAAAATAGAAAGTTAACGTGTAAAAAAAAATCGTGTTTGGCTTTGAGCAGATTCGAACCCGAAAAAACCAATACAGTCTTTTAGACACCCCTTTTTAAACAAATAAATCCAGTTTTGAAATAGACCCAATTTTTCCTTAGATTAAAGAATGTGTCAGATGCAACATCAGTAGCAGTCCAAACAGTCGGGCATGGACAAATGCACATACAGTATATATGGACAGCTGTTTTCTTTTCTTTTTTTTTTTTTAAACATTTGTTATTAAAGATGTATTGTTATTTATATAGTTATAAAGATGTATAGTTCGCATTGCAAAAAGACAGACTGCATGGTTGTTAGCAAAAGGGACAGCTCAAGATACAAATTACAAATTGGAGATACCAAAAAAAGAAAAAAAAAAAAAAAAAGTACATCATTTTAAATATCTAAGAAGTGTTTTAACAGAAGACGAAAAGTGTGACATTGAAATCCAAAGACGCATTTGGATAGCGAAAGATGCCTTCCAAAAGCTAAGCAAAGTATTAAGAAACCGAAACATTTGGTTAGAAACAAAAATAAAAGTACTGAACTGTTATGTAATATCAATCCTCTTATACGACAGCGAATGTTGGACAATCGCTTCGCTGATGAAGAAAAAACTTGAAGCAACAGAAAAGATGTTTAGGTTTACGGCCATATAGCGTTGAAACACCAGTTCCCATACGGCCACCAAAGTTAAGCAACGTCGAGCTTGGTTAGTATCTAGATGGGTGACCGTTTGGGAATACCAACTACTGTAAGCTTTGATGTGCGGCTGGTGTAATGGATAATGGCTGGGATAGAACCGAGTTCAAATTTCAGTTTGGTTCATTATATTAACTTACGTGCAAATACTCTTGGGGAAAGTTATGAATTCACCTCTTCTCCTCTCCAGCCATGGGTTAATTAGTAAGACTTGTATCATTAAAATCATTATTATCTCCAAAAGAATTTTTTAGAATCTCAAAATATTTCTTAAATAATTTGCAAAAGCTTGATAAGACGTTGAAAACGAATCAATCAAATGTGGTTCTACAGAAGGATGATGAGAATACTATGGACTAAACAACGGCGAAGATTTAGAGCAAATGGAAATAAAAAGAACACTTCTATTTAACATCAGAAAGAGTCATTTGAAATTTTTATGGTACACAGTGAGGAAAGAGGGTTTGGAAAATTTGATATTCGCAGGACAGATTGAAGGCAAGAGGAAAACAACGCATAACCTACCCAGCGACAAGACAAAATTTATTAAGAACTGCAAATTACAGGAGATTGTGGGGAGCCATGATCGCTGATGTCCTGAAGGACACGGCACATAGAAGAAGAAAAAGAACTTGAGTAAAATGGATAGCGGAACAGGGTTTAGGAGAGATAAGAAAAAGACAAAATTTATTAAAGCTACAAAAGAGAGGAAAATGTGGAGAGTCATGATCCTTTAAGTCCTGAAGAAACACGGCACATACTAGAAGAATGAGCTTGAGTAAATGGATAGTTGAAAAATACTTAGGAGAGATAACAAAAACACAAAATTTATTAAGAGCTACAAAGAACAGGAGATTGTGGAGAGTCATGATCGCTAACGTCCTGAAGGGACACGGCACATAGAAGAAGAAAAACAAGCTTGAGTAAATGGATGGCGGAACAGAGTTTCGGAGTAATAACGAAAAGACAAAATTTATTTAAGAGCTGCAATGGGCACAGAGATTGTGGAGAGCCATGATCGCTAATGCCCTGATGGGACACAGCATATAGAAGACTGTTAAAAAACAATGGCAATGTAACCAACGTAAAACACTCCAGGTGGCGGGGTTCCTGTGTGCCGGGAGATTGGGGACAATACCGCATGAATTTTGTCCGAACATATTCGTGTATTACAGGCCTGCGGAATTAAAAAAAAATATGAGGAGGCTACATTGATTGTAGAAAATTAGCCACGGACAGCAAAAGAAAATTTTTAGAGCCAGTTACCGGGTATGAGTGAGATAGTAACAGATGAGAGAAAGAAGATGGCGCGAAAATTATTTCTGTTTTTGTTTCATCAGAGAGTTAAAAAGGTTTAATTAGATAGAAACACAGTGAAATATTGGTTGAATAAAAAAAAAACTACACTTTTGGTACGCGATCAGTTGCCTTATTTAATTTAATGAAAAGAAAAAAAAATAATGATTATTTTGAAAACTACTGTGGGCTTTTCTGGGTAGTTTCGCTGGCCTTATGCACCTCGCTGGTCGCATACGGCTCGCTGGTCGCATATGACTCCCTGGTCGCATATGACTCCCTGGTCGCATACATATCGTTGGTCGAATGTGTCCCGCTGGCCGTATTTTATGTATTAGAAAAATTATATATATATATATATATGTGTGTGTGTGTGTGTATGTGTGTGTGTGTGGGGGGGTGAATATACGAAAAGTATGAATCTTTTTCTTGTCTCCACCCAGCTATGGGTAAATAGCAGGACAGACTGTGTTCTATAGCCTTGGGTGGCAACCGATCTAGGAGAAAGTAACTCTGACTTCAATACTGTATGTAGCCCTGGCGTACCACATGCTATACAGTTAAAGAAAGGATCGTTCGCATTGGCTCAATGATCCCGACTAAATGATGATGATGATATATATATATATATACATTATAAATTGATTTAAAATATGTTTTTTTCGCTACACAGTTCTCATGCTCTATAAATTTACATTGAGCACTATTTTGTAAAAATAAAAATATCTATAAGAACACCGGATTATATATCTTACTGTTCTTTCTTTCTTTCTTTATATATATATATATATATATATTACATGAATCATTCATACAAAAAACAGATTAGTAAAGTTAATGATATAAATGGCGAGAATATATCTTCGCAAACAAATTTATTAAAATTACATTAACCCAAGAACCTCTAGATGAATGGTATGATCCCTGTTTTCAATAAATTCAAGTTGTATAAGGTCTTTTTTTGCTAGTACTTTCATCTGTTCATACAGACATCATCTGGCATGGAAATTGATTTGTTTTTTTTTAAATACATCCAGGTAATAACGGGACACGAAAGATTAGATGTGAGTATATATATTGCTGTTGGCATCGGATCACATTCGAGTATCGTCATCATCGTCTTCTTTTCCTATTCCCTTTTCTCTCTCCGTTAGTAGTGGTGGCGGAGATGGCTGAGAATGAAGAAGTGTTTGACGTGGCCATTCTCGAGAAATTTTATTCTTTTCTTACTTATTGATTCGTTTCTATTATTGTCATTAAAGTAATTCCTGGTACATTTGATAACGAACTGTTCACTCCGACATCTCATGTAAAATAAATATATATCGTCGTTCCTTGTCATGGTAGGGCCACCCATGGCGGTACGGTCGAAAAGGAAATACCAGAATAAACGCGACGAAGCCCTGAAGACCCCATGGTGGAAGAGGCAAAGATCTACATGATCTCAACGGCTAAACCGCCGGAAGAAGGCAGCGCCAGTCGGGCTAGCGTGTAACCAAGGAGGACCTTGACAGACCAAGCATCCGAAATCCGGATACAACGAAGCTTGGTGAATAACCCTGCGCGATGGAGAAGCCCACGGACTTGGCAAGATGCGTCTCCCTCGCTACTCAAAGAGGATTATGACTTGCGAGATCTAGCAAGCCTCGTTGTATCGCAATTTATATATGTATATATATATATATATATATATATATATATATATATATATTATTTATATATTATATATGCGCGATACTTATTGGAAAGCGTTCAATGTCACTGATAGAGCTAACATTTAGTTGGATTGATGTGAGTTTGTGATCCTGGGTTTCACGCTCTCTGCAATCGTCAGACAAACTAATTAATTTTTAAATTTCGGATTTATTTGTAGTTGCGCTCCGACGACAATTTTTTCCTCTCACTACCATAAAACACCGATATACGCAACCATAAATAAATCCAAAATTTCAAAAATTAATTAGTTTGTCTGACGATTATATATATATATATATATATAGTTAGATTATATATATATATATATATATATATATATATATATATATATATATATATATATATTCAACACGCGTCAAGTTGGATTTGGTCGAGATCAAAACAAGCAATTAAAATGCGCGCAACATCACGACCTAACATGCGCAAGTGAGATATTTGCGTGGTCGTCTATAACGACTTTTACGAGCGCGTCAATAACAGCAAACGCGTTCAAGAAACTTTCATTGCAGATAGATTTTACTTAAAGGAACGATTAATTAGCTTATCTTCATACCCTACCTGGTGGCAAACGCTGCTGGTGGCGCTAGGGGTGGCGGTCCCGCCACAGCCACCGAAACCGTGAGATCACCCCTGGTCGGCGGCTGATGAAGACAGGGTATCGCACGTGCTAACACACGTTGTATGTTCAAAAAAAAAAAATATATGCAATCAACATCATTACTTGATATGACACCAGTAGTGTTCAAACAAAATTGTAATTTTGTAGTGATATTACAACATGCATATGTTATAATTTTTAATATATATATATATATATATATATATATATATATATTTAATTGTGTGGATCATTTTTGGATATGGTTGTTAATTTATTTTCAGAGTAATCACGGAGGAGGTGGCAGATATGGTCAAGGAGGCGGTAGCTGGAGTGGAGGTCAAACGGGTGGCCAAACTGGTGGAGGAACATACGGTCAGGGAGGAGGTAGCCAAGGTGGAGGTAGCTGGAGTGGTGGTCAAAGTGGTGGAAGTCAGAGCGGGGGTGGACAAGGAAGACCTCAGGATGGTGGAAATTGGGGTGGTCCGGGATTTGGTCAAGGTGGTAGTAATTTAGGTGGTCAAGGAGGTGGTAAAGGAAGCGGTCAAGGAAGCGGACAAGGAGGCGGTCAAGGAGGTGGAAGTTGGGGTGGTCAAGGAGGCGGTCAAGGTGGTGGAAGTTGGGGTGGTCAAAGTGGTGGAAGTTGGGGCGGTCAAGGAGGTGGTAAAGGAAGCGGACAAGGAAGCGGTCAGGGAGGCGGAAGTTGGAGCGGTCAAGGAGGCGGAAGTTGGAGCGGTCAAGGAGGTGGAAGGAGGGGTGGTCAAGGAGGCGGAAGTTGGGGCGGCCAAGGAGGTGGTCAAGGAGGTGGTCAAGGAGGTGGAAGCGGACAAGGAGGTGGTCAAGGAGGTGGAAGTTGGGGTAGTCATGGAGGTGGTCAAGGAGGCGGAAGTTGGGGGGGACAAGGAGGTGGTCAAGGAAGTGGAAGTTGGAGTGGTCAAGGAGGTGGTAAAGGAAGGAGGAGGTGGTAAAGGAAGCGGAAGTTGGGGTGGTCAAGGAGGCGGTCAAGGAGGTGGAAGTTGGGGTGGTCAAGGAGGTGGTCAAGGAGGTGGACAAGGAGGCGGTCAAGGAGGTGGAAGTTGGGGTGGTCAAGGAGGCGGCCAAGGAGGCGGAAGTTGGAGCGGTCAAGGAGGTGGAAGGAGGTGGAAGCCCAAGGAGGCGGCCAAGGAGGTGGAAGTTGGGGTGGACAAGGAGGTGGAAGGAGGTGGTCAAGGAGGTGGCCAAGGAGGTGGCCAAGGAGGCAGTCAAGGCAGCGGACAAGGAGGCGGTCAAGGAGGTGGAAGTTGGGGTGGACAAGGTGGCGGTCAAGGAGGTGGAAGTTGGGGTGGTCAAGGAGGTGGTAAAGGCAGCGGACAAGGAGGCGGTCAAGGCAGCGAACAAGGAGGCGGTCACGGAGGTGGAAGTTGGGGTGGTCAAGGAGGCGGTCAAGGCAGCGGACAAGGAGGCGGTCAAGGCAGCGGACAAGGAGGCGGTCAAGGAGGTGGAAGTTGGGGTGGTCAAGGAGGCGGACAAGGAGGTGGTAGTTGGGGCGGTCAAGGAGGAGGTAGTTGGGGTGGTCAAGGTGGCGGTCAAGGAGGCGGTCAAGGAGGTGGTAGATATGGTCAAGGTGGGGGAGGGAATCAGGGTGGAGGAAGTTGGAATGGTGGTCAAGGAGGTGGCCAGGGCGGTGGCCAGAGTTGTGCCCGAGCTGACCCCTCTGATTGTTCTTACTACTTTGAGTGTCAAGGGCGCAGCGGCCATCAGCGACTGAAGTGCCCGGATGGACTTTATTTCAACGATCAACGCGGATTCTGCGATTATCCCGGAAATACTCGCTGTAACGGAGCCTCACGTGAGTCTAGAGATGTTTACATTTTATTGTGGAAATGTATCTATCCGTAATTACTTACATGTTTCTTTTTAATATCTGTTTTTGTTTTTGTAGGGTAGCTTAATTCCGTCAATTGTACCCTTTTCTGCCCGTGACTTGTCCTATTACTTGATAAAATGTCTCATCTAAAAGATTGGTCTGATAGTCTTCAATTTTCTCTTTCTGACTTTAAACATCGGTTCCTAGTTTCCTTAAAACTTCCTCATTGCTCACATGTTCTGGCTATGCTTTTCCTTAGCATTCTCATCAGTAGAACCAGATCTGTTAAGTAAGTTATTTGCTGTTTCGCCTTGATTAGTATCAGTTTCCTTAAAACTTCCTCATTGCTCACATGTTCTGTCTATGATATTCTTAGCATTCTCATTGGTGGAATTGTCTTTGTTGCTTTCAGTCTCTCCACTTTTGAGGAGATTGTCTAGTATTCACTGCCAGATATTATAGTTCAGCACATTTTCTTTGTTTTTTAGGAAATTTTCTCATCTCTCAGTTTTTGTTCACTTTCTGGAAGATACTTTTTCCTCTTCCTATAAGTCATCAGGTTCTTGTGACATATTTTTCATCAACTGGTATTAGATTGTTTAAGATCAAAGCATAGTATCTGTTTCCTTATGTCTTTAAAGGAGACAACTTTAACCATTATTATACCTGCATCCTTAGGAATGTGCTAGTCCCCCTTGAGGTCAGGTGCTAGTTTGAGGCCCAATTGTCTTTCAGGGCACAGTGTCACCCTGAGTGGATATCCTTTCATCCTGATTGGTGATTGTTTCTTATTTCTTTTGCTTTGCGTCAGTTTTTTTTTTATATATTTACTTTTAAAGATTTAAAAAGCAGAAATCTTTCTTTCTTGCAACAAAATTAATTATATAAGTAATGACCTTATTTTAATAATACTTTTGCTTAAGTATGGTCGTCAGTTTTAACTTTGCCTATAAAGGAATAAACATAAAATATAATGATATGTAAAAGCTTCATATTACCTTTTAATGGATGATTTTATTTTTAATGATTTAAAAAGCAAAACTTTTTCCTGACATGTTGTGCAGAAGATGAGGCAGAGGACGCGATGACCCCTGGACATTCATATCGAGAGGGCACCCAAACAAAGAGTCAAACAAAAATTTAGTTTGTATTTATTTTTGAATAGAGTTTTTATTTCATGTTTAATCTGTTTTTACATATTTAAAATGTCTTACTTTCTAACATTTCTCAGTATTAGGCCCTATAGACCCCACTACTTGAGTCTTAATCAAGGAATAGATATCACTAGACATCACCAAACCTCTGCTAGCCACTGCTTACATGTGACAATAGAATTAATTGTATAGGTGATAATACTAGGTTATCCATGCAGAAAATAAAACCAATGCAAATGCAAAATTATTGAAATATATGGCCGACATTTTTAGCGGTTCCGATAAAATATAAAGAGATAATATATAGAAATTTATAAATGTTTCATTTTGACCTCATTTGGGTATTATTTTTTACTTTTAAAAATCATAATTCAAAAATATTAATTGTTTTTACGTGTGGCAATAGTTAAATATATAGATACAAATCTTAGATTACTTATGTATAAAATGTAAGCAATCCAATTATTTAAATGCGGATGTCATGTGGGAGGGAGGCAAGAAACCGGAAGTGAGTTTATCAGGCAGGAAGTGCAAGAAAATAATGTGTTACTTAATAATAAACCGCTGCTTTGTGGAATCAACTTTTAAGAAGATGCTTCCCCCGATCGCTACAATATTCTGTTCAAGTCTACGTTAACCGTTATCTTCCTCAAATATCCCAAGTGTCTCTTGATCTGTAACCCTATACCTCGAGTGGCTCTTGGGCCATATACAGGATGAACATAATTGTAAAAAAAACTTAATAGTAAATAAATTAAATTCATTTGCTTATCTTATAACTACTCCACAAGGACACAAGGCACAGCGGATAAAGGCTTTAGTTAGATCCAAAGAGTGTGAATTCAATACGTGGTTAAGGCGGTGGAAAACTTGAAGAGGGGAATTAACAGGAGATAACTGATAACTGACATCCATTAGACATGGCACGTGGAACTAGAACAGTCTACCCCAGCGTTCGAAATAAAAGGTTCAGTTCGACATTCCAACCACCTGAAGAAGGCCGGAGTGTACAACGGCCGAAACTTTGTGATAAATATGGTAAAAAAAGATGAGGACAATAGTCCGAATAATGTAAATAGTGTACATATATACATCTCAAATATAGACATATACTCCAAAACGTTGTAAAATATGGCGACAAAGTTGAGGACAATAGTCCGAATAATGAAAAATAGACATAATATCTCATCTCAGAAATATAGAAAATACTGAAAAGCCGAAACGTTGTAATAAATATGGCGACAAAGTTGGGAAGATAGTCCGAATAATGAAAATAGTTTACATACCTCATCTCAGAAATATAGACAGATACTGAAAGGCCGAAACGTTGTAATATATATGGCAACAAAGATGAGGACAATAGTCCGAATAATGAAAATAGTGTACATAATACCTCATCTCAGAAATATAGACAGATACTGAAAGGCCGAAACGTTGTAATAAATATGGCAACAAAGATGAGGACAATAGTCCGATTAATGAAAATAGTGTACATAATACCTCATCTCAGATATATAGACAACTTCACAGAATTACATCGACTCTTCAGGTCTCATTGTACTTAATGCTTTTTCTCTTGATATTGAGCACTTTAAAAACAAAGACTGCTTGCCTTAAAAACGTTATCTTCGAGAATTACCTTGGATGACCGTTTTTTTTTTAAAATTATTATTTGGCGCTTGTTATTGTTATTAATGATTGACTTATAAACGGTGCATTTGTTAGTTATTGGAATTAATTGTTATTTTTGTTTGCTTGTTTTTTAGCCAATCCGTTGTGTGGTGATTTTGAACAGGATGTAAAGAAGCGCCATAACGTACACTGTCACATGTACTACGAATGTAACCTTGGCTACCTCAATGACGTCCAAGAATGCGCTCCAGGAACCGTCTTTAATCCGAACATTCAAGTTTGCGATTATCTGAACAATACGGATTGTGGAAATCTTCAAATCCCACAGAGCGCCATAGATTTCGCCCTTGGAAAAACGGGAAGAGGCAGTGATCAGGGCTGTAGTAAAGGTGGTCGAGGATGTGGAGGAGGAAGTGGTACTGGAGGACAAAGTGGCAGCTGGGGTGGAAATAACGGACAAGGAATAGATAACGGAAATCATAATGGCGGACAAGGGAACAAAGGAAATGGTCAAACTGGTGGACAAGCTGGAGGGAAGTAAGTCATTTTTTTCTGTCAGGAAGACAAATTGGCATCTTTTTCTATTATTGAAAAAAATTCTTAGATGTTATTTATATGTATGCAATTACATTTCGGTATATGTGGGTCCCGACATCAAACCCATTGCTTTAACGTCGGTTTCCAGAAACCTAAATACATTACCATGTCGTTAGTAAATATATATAAACTAGCTTCTAATGCTTCTAAAACCGACTGGAACGGCTTGGTAATAGAAGACGTGGCTCGTGGGGGCACAGTTCCGTTGGGTTAGGGGAACTCGGACAAAACGGCCGTCCATTGCTTTCTGCATTCTGTCGAATATTCTTCTAGACTCGATGAATTACTTAATTATGATTATTTCAAATCTTCCTAATAATTTTTTAACTTGTATATCGTTGCTTGAACCGACTTCTAATGCACTGGATGGTGCGGCTTGGTGATAGAAGACGTGACTCGTGGGGGCACAGTCCGTTGGGTTCGGGAAACTTAGATGAGTTACACCGCGGAATAAGGGAAGAGCATCGCTATATCGAGTCTCATTAATTACCTGTTCGTCACCGAGTCCTGTTGGTACAGTTGGTATGATGCTTGCGTCGTATTGTAACTGTCCGGTTTCGATTTTCGCTAGTGGATGTTGTTGAGTCCCAAATATAGGACGAAACGGCCGCCCAGTGTTTTCTGTTGAGGTTTCTTCTAGACTTAATGAATTAATTATGATTATATCAAATACTCCTAATAATTTATTTTCACACACACACTATATATATATATATAGCACTGTGTAAGTGTGCACCTCTAAAAATTTAGATTAGTGATACTCAATACTAGTGTGACGCGAAATATTGTCACGACACTACAGTTCAAAAGTTTGAAGCCACCACCAGAATTAGCATAGAATAAACTTGACAGAAGAGTGAAACTTTTCCATCTGAAAAATGAAAAAGAGGCTCTTAGAGTCATTGAAAAAAGAATGGAATCAATTATCAAACTTTTAAGAAATTTTTGCAAAGAATGCTAAATATTTGTGCTGCAGTAATCAAGGTTAAAGGAGGATATTTTGACGTGAGCAAAATTTAACCATAAAATGTGTTTTTTTTTCTTTTTGGCATAATAAAATTTCTCAGAAAAAAATCATGTATCACTTTTTAACCATATATAATAATTTTCTCATATTTAAAGTACAAAACACCTATATTTGGAGTCACTTTGAAAAAGTCTCTGGAGTTTTCTCAAACTTTTGAACTTTAGTGTATATATGTATGTGTGGAAGTATTAATATTACAAAAGCTGCACAATAGTTGAATAGAAATAAAGTAAATTCACAACTGTGTATGTATTTTTTAAATTTATGGTTTCTTTTCAGAACATTTAAATATATATTTAATATGTCGTGATATTTTAATTTGATCCTAAGTATGCCTTTGCTTAAAAAGCTTGAGAAACACTGATTTCGATGAACAGAGCCTGGTAGTCGATCTCTTATCTGATCTAGCTTTAACTGCTTAATGGTGGAGAAACTATATAGTAAATTTCAATACTTTAAAAATCAAGTCAATAACTTTCTA